CACCCAAACCACGCCCAAACCACACCCAAACCACGCCCAAACCACGCCCAAACCACACCCAAACCGCACCCAGACCACACGCAAAACACACCCAAAACACACCCAAACACCACACCCAAACCACACCCAAACCGCACCCAAAACACACCCAAAACACACCAAAACACCACACCCAAACCACACCCAAACACCACACCCAAACACCACACCCAAACCACACCCAAACACCACACCCAATCCACACGCAAACCACACCCAATCCACACGCAAACCACACCCAATCCACACCCAAACACCACCCAAAACACACCCGAAACACACCCAAAACACACCCAATCCACACCCAAACCACACCCGAACCACACCCGAACCACACCCAAACACCACACCCAAACCACACCCAAACCACACCCAAACACCACACCCAAACCACACCCAAACACCACACCCAAAACACACCCAAACACCACACCCAAACCACACCCAAACCACACCAAATCCACACCCAAACCGCACCCAAAACCACACCCAAACCACACCCAAACACACCCAAACCACACCCAAACCACACCCAGACACCACACCCAAACCACGCCCAAACCACGCCCAAACCACACCCAAACACCACGCCCAAACCACGCCCAATCCACAGCCAAACCACACCCAAACACCACACCCAAACCGCACCCAAAACCACACCCAAACCACACCCAAACACCACACCCAAACCACACCCAAACCACACCCAAACCACGCCCAAATGCCACACCCAAACACCACACCCGAACCACACCCAAACCACACGCAAACACCACACCCAAACCACACCCAAACACCACACCCAATCCACACCCAAACCACACCCAATCCACACGCAAACCACACCCAATCCACACGCAAACCACACCCAATCCACACCCAAACACCACCCAAACACCACCCAAACACCACCCAAACCACACCCAAACCACACCCAAACCGCACCCAAACCACACCCAAACACCACACCCAAAACACACCCCAAAACACACTCAAACCGCACCCAAACACCACACCCAAACACCACACCCAGACTGCACCCAAGCCACACCCAAACACCACACCCAAACCACACCCAAACCGCACCCAAACCACACCCAAACACCACCCAAACCACACCCAGCACACGTGGGCACCTTGCAGGGCAGCAGAGCCCTCACACATCCCCATTTTACTGGTGGTGACCTCCCAGCAGCTGCCTGGGACATTTAAACATTTTGGGAAATCCACAGGCTGCCACCAGCCAGGATTGGTGTGCACCCTCTGGATCCCAAACTGTCAAACACCCAAAAGTTACTCACTTGCTGACRAGTCCTGGCCGATAGTTCAGATTAACCTTGATTTTAGGGGCGAAGTCACTGCTCTCCTTCTGATAAGGTGTCTCCAAGGGTTGTGGCTGTCCTTTCTTTCCATGTCCCGGCCTTTCTTCCTTTTTACCCGGTGTGGGTTTGTCCTCCTGGACGCTGTCATCTGTTTCTAGCAATCCTACAAACCTGTTCCTCTGAGCTGGGCCTGGCTGCCCATTTGTGAATTTATCCATTGCCAGGAGAGATGGTCCTGCAGATCCCACAAAAGTGTTCCCTGCTGGGGCACTAAACCTGCAAGGGATGGGGAGGATTAACACAATTTCTTCACAAACCCCAAAGGTGTTCAGTGAGACACAAGGGAGGTTCCCAGGTTGCCCATGGGTTCCTCGAGAGGGAGATTTGGTAAAACTCTGCACAGGAGGAGAATTTGAATAAAGGATCAGGGTCTTAAATAGGGTTCCAGCAGAGGAGAAATTCAAAAGCAGCTCATGAAGCACAAGCAACTCGTCTGCAGCACATCTGAACCCCCTGTGTGAGATGACCTCACCTGTTGGCAGCAGCACAGGTTCCTGACATAAAAGGCAAGGAAAGTGGCTCTTTAGGAGTCTGGGATCGTTGCTCTTGTCTCAGTGCAACCAGCACAGGCTGGGCACCAAGTGGCCAAACAGATAAAGGTTCCCTGTGGGCCTGCTTTGAGCAGTGATGAGTGTGCCCACGCTCCCTGCTCGGAAACTTTGGGCTGTTTACACAGAGAAAACACCTGCACAAATTGTGTTCTCCCTGACATTTCAGCCTGGAGTGAAACCAGTGGGATCTCCCCAACACTTGGAGCTGCTGGCTGTCCATGTGAGCACAGAATCAAACACACTCCCCCTGCCCTGTGGACACCCAGAGCCCCGGGAGACTGCACAGAGCACAGATTTGTACTCTGAGAGCATCAGCACCCAGCACAGCTCCCAGCCATTCCCCTGCTCTCATCTAACTCATCCTGAACTCTTCTTTGACTCTGTGGGGACCTCTCCTCACATCTCTCTGGGCACATCAAACCACACCCAAGGCACACTGTCTGAATTCAGCGTGGTTGTGGATTCTCTCAGTTTAGAGGCAGCAATTCAACATCCCCCGTTACCAACCTGCAGCAGAGCTCGTGTCAGGAACTGCTCCTCGCTCCCATGCACTCCCTCCAAATGGTTAACAGGTTTCCTCTGAAGAGAAATCCCCCTTGCTGGGACTAGGGCCAGACTCCATAGCCTGCACCAG